TTTTAAGTACGACTAATTTTAAATCTGTGAACTTTTTTTTGTTGCATAGAGTTAAAAGCATATATAAATTGAAAATATTAATTTTAGACAATGACGTAACATTACCAATAAGACATCTAATGTTGTATTCAAAGAAATATTTGGAAATTTGTGATTCATTACAATTATTTACAATATCTCGATAACGTCCCAAAAATAAGACCCAAAATTTTCATTTTTAAATTTATAAAATGGTAACCCAAAATTTTCATGCAGACATCTAGCACTCTAACATAGTAAGCCATGGATCGGCATTGGTGTCTTCGACCCGCTAAACATGGTGATGAAGACTCACCTCAAACTGTTGAATCACACAGATAAATCTCTGGCTGCTCGTCCGAAGATCCTCGTGTTATCAATATTAACAATATCCAATTTATTAATTGGGTCTTAACCCAAAATCATAGGTCTAATCTATTGGCCCAAAGCAAGGCCTAATCCATTTACTAAAAATCCCAAACTCTAATTGACAACCCAAGGCCCAATTATGGCCCAATCTTCCAAATTGGGCCCAAGACCCATCATGGGCCTAAAATCCAATGAAACCTAACAAGCTAGTCCAAGTCAAACACAGAAGTCCGGTGGCCCAACAGGGCCCAAGCAATGGAAGCCCAAACAATGGCCCAACACCGTGAACGTCTAACCCAAACCCATATGTTGAGTACGCGGGGGGTACTTAGCTCGTACGCTAAGTATACTCCTTCTGGGGTTAGTATGTGCAACGTACCAGTTGGGTATGCCCGGCGTACTCCCCAGTGTGCCATTCCCACTTCATTAAGCACTTAAACGGTTCAGCCTCTACTCCATACTCTCAGACCGTGTCTCAAAAGATGACTTATCACGTAAAGTTGGCAACTTTACGTGCAGGCATGACTTAGTGGGGCTCTAGAACTCAAAAGAGCTTAACAAAGGTCTTAACTCATGCATGAGTCCATAAACACCACAAATTTTGCATTTTTATGCATAAGGGATGTTAAGATTTATGGAGTCATGAACAAATTGACAAGTTCCTAAGAGTTCAAGGGCCATAAATGTAACTTGACAAATTAAACAATTGAATTGTTTAATATTTGTTTATTGGACGGTGAGTGGACGGCAAAAGTATTAATTGTTTAATGGAATCCATGTGCAATTTTGTTTCGGCCGTAACATGTGAATGGAAGAAAATTCAAATGGTGGCTGGTCAAACAAAACGGCTCCTCTCTCAGTATATATATGTGCGATGTAACTCTTTGTATTTGTGCCGAGTGATATTACCATTTGTAATCTTATAGTGAGTTAATATAAAATCTAGTTGCGCCCGTGGACGTAGGATTTACACCGAATCCGAACCACGTAAAATCCTTGTGTTCCTTCTTGCTTTATTTCCTTCGTGTGTTTGTGTGTGTGATAGTGTTTCCGCTGCATGTACCCGGTCCGATTCCTAACAACTGGTATCAGAGCCTGGTTAGCGAGGTTTGGAGGGTACGATCGTTTTTTTATCACGCACGAGTGTACCTTATTTGTATCTTGTTTGTCATAATGGCTTAAGACAAGGTGGTAATCGAAAAGTTCAACGGTTCTGATTTTAGCTGGTGGAAAATGCAATTAGAAGCATTACTATGTCAAAAAGACTTGGACGTGGTACTCGGAGACAAACCGGAGAAAATGGAAAAAGCTGCTGAAGATGCGTGAAACTCAAAGGACAAGAAAGCCAAGGCGGTTATTACATTGTCATTGACGAAGAGCGTTGCTTTCAACATCATGAATGAAACCACGGCGCATGGTATGATGGAGGCTCTGTCAAATATGTATGAGAAACCATCGGCGGCTAACAAGGTGTTCTTGATGAAGGAGCTGTTCACTACAAGGATGAATGAGGAAGGCTCAGTTACGGTTCACATTAACAATCTAAATTCAATTCTGTCCAGATTATCATCTGTGGGAATTAAATTTGATAATGAGACTCAAGCTTCGCTGCTACTAGCTTCTCTACCTGATAACTGGTCCGGAACAGTTACTGCTGTTACGAGTTCCGTGGGGACCAGTGGTATGACTTTTGAAGGGGTTAGAGATTTGGTTCTAGGCGAGGATATCAGACGCAAGAATCAAGGTGGATCTTCCTCTTCTGATTTATTAAATGTCGGAAGAGGTAGAGGGAATAGCAGGAATAGTGGGAGCAGTGGGAGTCGGGGAAAAAGTTCTTCTAGAACTTTGAAGAATGTGAAATGTTGGAACTGTCAAGAAGTGGGACATGTTAAGAGTCAATGTCCAAAGAAAGAATTGAACATTGCTGGTGCTGAGAGTGTGTCTGAGGATGATGCATTGTTACTCAGTATGGAAAGTTCTGTGGACTCTTGGGTCATGGATTCAGGGGCTTCGTTTCACGCCATGGACAACGGGGAAACGATGGTGAATTTAAAAGAAGGAGATTTTGGAAAGGTACGTTTGGCAAATGACGAGATGCTTCAGGTAACGGGCATGGGAGATATTGATCTAGTTACTTCATTAGGAACTACATAGAGCCTGAAGAATGTCAGGGTTATTCCGGAGCTGAAGAAAAAATTGATTTATGTTGGTCAGCTGGATAAACAAGGACTGGAAGTAAGGTTTGGTGGTGGTAAATGGATGGTGGTCAATGGTAATTCGGTGATTGCTCAAGGTTTGAAGCGTGGGTCATTGTATATGGTTGAGGTACCTGCTGAGGGAAGTATGACCATCCCGATTAAGCAAAACAAAATCTGGTTCGCTAAATCTACTGCTAAGAGAGTTCATTTTGCAAACATGAATTCTGGAGCCAAGGGGATGTTAGCTGAACGAGTCGGAAATTCTAAACCATTCAGGGGATTTTGTGACAGTGGGAGCACGGGGTGTGTCCCGGGTACAGTTACAAAGAGCCGTTGGGTTTTGAAGACTAAGACTGGAAAATTCTCTCTTGTTGGAAGTTTGCAAAGTTTGGAGAGTGTTAGTGGTCCTCGGTGTATCTTTGGATCTAGTGGAGTGTCCAAACCGGTTGAGACAGAGGATGAGTCGGTGGTGGGATTAGCCACGACTAAGTTGGAGCTAGTGGGAGCTTCAACTGGCCCTTCTAGTAATTGATGATGAGGGGCGGCTGCAACTAGAGAAATCAGACTAAGTTTTAGCTTGTTCTTTGGAACTGGAAGCTTGAAGGACTTGGTTGTTTTTTAAGATTACTGGAGTAATTAAGAGTTGGATGGCGGAGAAAGACTAATTTGTTCAAGCCTCCAAGTGGGAGATTGTTAAGATTTATGGAGTCATGAACAAATTGACAAGTTCCTAAGAGTTCAAGGGCCATAAATGTAACTTGACAAATTAAACAATTGAATTGTTTAATATTTGTTTATTGGACGGTGAGTGGACGGCAAAAGTATTAATTGTTTAATGGAATCCATGTGCAATTTTGTTTCGGCCGTAACATGTGAATGGAATAAAATTCAAATGGTGGCTGGTCAAACAAAACGGCTCCTCTCTCAGTATATATATGTGCGATGTAACTCTTTGTATTTGTGCCGAGTGATATTACAATTTGTAATCTTATAGTGAGTTAATATAAAATCTAGTTGCACCCGTGGACGTAGGATTTACACCGAATCCGAACCACGTAAAATCCTTGTGTTACTTCTTGCTTTATTTCCTTCGTGTGTTTGTGTGTGTGATAGTGTTTCCGCTGCATGTACCCGGTCCGATTCCTAACAAGGGACTCCTAAAATGTCCAGATCTAAAGGGTTAAGCTTCTGAAACAACCTTTTCTCACAAGGACCAACCAAAAGGGACCAAAGTAGTCATAAACGAACCCAAGAGTAGATCTATACAAGAAGTTGACAAGTACAAACTTTATACCTCAAAGATCTTGAAATGGTGATGCCAAATCCGGATCTCTAAGCTCCACTCCAAAGAATAAGCCTTCAAATCTCCTTCTACCACTTCAAAATACACAAGAACACACCAAAATGCTTCACAAGAGCTCAAAAGCACCAAAACAAAGGCTAGGGCGATATTAGGGTTTAGAGGATAGGGAGGTTGGTCTAAAATGTCCAGGAGGTGAGTTTATGATGCTTGAATAGGGCACAAACCCTAAAAATTAGGGTTTGTCCCAAGCCTGCATACGCCATGCGTACTCCATGTACGCCCCGCGTACGTGGATGGAACCCGTGATCAATATCAGGCTAGTACGGCAAGCGTACCACCTAGTATGCCCTGCGTACTAGCTAAAGGACCAAAGTGCAAAGTTTTTGATAAAGAGGGTTAAATGCGAAACTTACCAAATTTGAGTGTTACAATCTCAATACTAATTCTTAGTACATTGGATTCAATTACATACTTATTCATCAAAAACTTCGTATATAAGTAAAATTATCACTTTAATAATTTCTTTAGGTTTAGAAGTTTATATTAATTTTTTTAATAAACTATATGTAATACACGAGTTTCACACCTCCTATATATTAAATTTAATTAATATGTATACGTTTAAACGCATAATCACCTCATAATTTCTGGTTTCATAAGACTTTGGACTCAATTTTGATTTTGATGAATCATTTTTTTAAATAACATTTGAAGTGAATGATAAATTAATGAATTTTTAATGTATATTTGTGTCGTCAATTTCTGATTGAGACCAAAGGGCTTCTAGCCCAGCGGTATCCGATGTTGTCCTCCCTCCTTGAGGTTGAGGGTTCAAGTCACATCGTGGACATTGGTGGATTTAAGGAATAGTTTAGGAATAGGTTAGATTTGCCGTTTCAAAAAAAAAAAAATTTCTGATTGAGAGTTGATTATGTGTGTAGTATATGATAAATTGAAAAGCTTATTACTGCAATTGGAAGTTTTTTTTTCATTAATTACCTTCATTTAACAGGTTGATGTTTTGTACCGGAAACAGTAGAAAAAAATGAGAGAGAATAATGGTCACTATGTCTATTTAAATGAAGATTATCAATCCCTAAACCAAAACATATCGAAATCCCACGCTAAATTGACTCTCTGTGATTGCACATTAACATGGCCAAGCTTGCATCTTTCTTCTTAGTATTCATTGTTGTAATCTCAGGTTTGTGTACTCGATCTGTATATGTTTAGCTTCCAAAATTTTATTTTAAAATTAAAATATATTTTTTTGGAACGGTATTATTTTAATTTTAATATACATGAAGTTTCTTTGTAACTGGGAACAGGCATGCGATAATATTTTGTTAATTGATTGCAAGCATGTCCAATCTCTTGCTGGAGAATTTATCATACAAGGACTTCTATTTTTATTTATTAAGATAGCCATATATGTAATATCTAATACTTTATGGTTCGTATTAAAATTTAACGTGTTTATTTTATTTTATTTTTCATTTTTCAGTTGGAGCTTCCACTGTGAATGGACAGCATAGATGTACAGAGGTGTTGGATCCAAATACTTGTACTCTTGGTGATTGTCGTGAGCAATGTTATCAAAAACACAAGGGCAATGGAATTTGCGAGCTGTCAAGTGATATGAGCCATTATGGTTGTATTTGTATTTTCGACTGCTGATGAAATCTTAAGACAATGATATTACTTTGGGTCGGAAAGTAGTAACCCAAAGGATCATTAGTGCTCTAGAACAGAAAAATTACAATTCCATTAAAGAACGTTTTTGAAGTTATGTATCTTTCTAAATACATAATCAATGAAATATTCATTTCAGATTGTTATCTATAATGGATTAGTAAAAAATACTAACACATTATTTTCTTATTCAATGACTATATAACGGATTAAAGATTTCACTCATCGAAACAACCTTTAACTTTTGATAATGAAAGAACCTTCCAAATAACTTTTGGGTTAACTACTACTTTTTACCAATTCAATCGAACAACTTAATTTGAGACATTTTTTCAACGCTGTCATTAATATTTATGACTATGTGATATCATGTATAGCCATTTACACTCACCTGTAGGGATTTCTTGATCGTATTATCTAAATTATTTGGATTGTTCTAAATTGTGTAAGAACTCCTGAGTTTTTGTTTGTGTTATTAAATGTTATATGTATGCCCCTGTATGCGAACCATCAAAAAGTTAACTATTTTTTTTTTTTTGTTATTTTGAATCATCGAGAATTTATTAAGGCCAAGTTTAGGAAGGCACCAACCAAAAGAGACAATTTTGAGAGCACTGTTGGGTTAATCGGTTCGTTAGTCATAGCTCACATGCATGGCTGAAACTTTAGATTTAATAATTAGTATTGTTTTATATTTTATGTTTTAGATAATAGTTCATTATTTAGAATTGGTGTTTGATTTGACCGGATCCTATGGAGATGTACAGGTCTTCAGGTAATTAGGTAGAGTAAAGAGCATAGATTGTTTTCATACTTCACGTGGGTATCTAAGAAACTATATATAGAGTCTTTATTGATATGAATAAAATAAGAGGTTTGAAAGATGTAGCCCCACGTTGTTGTAGCAGCAACTTGCCCCACCCCATTAAGTTGTTATGCTTCTTCTTCTCCCTTTGTTTTCCTTTTAAGCTATAGAGTATTTTTTTTTTAGAAAGAGCTTTTAAGCTATAGAGTAGAAGGCCAATATCCTACATTTTGTATCAGAGCAACCAGCGATTCTAGACAGTTTAGTTTCAACAGGGATGGTTCTCAGCAGAACAGGTGGATCCTGTCAAAGATGAAGTTGCCTCGGTTGTGGTTTGAAGTTGGTGATCTTCAAAGAGAAGGTTCAATAGGTAGCGGTTATGGTGTCCTTCGGTGAAGAGGGTGTGATAGCTCATCGGTAGTGGGTTGATCACAGGAGCTTAACGGGTGGATGAAGCCGTTGTCGGAATTTTCGGAAGATGATGAAGATGGTGTTTGTTATAGCAGTAGTTGTAGACAGGGTTTGCAGGTGAAGCAGGGGTCGAAGGTAAACAGAGGTTGTGAAGGTGCTGATGTTCGTTAGTGTTTAATGGCAGAGGAGGTGGTTCAGTTGACGAGTTTCTGTGTTGGGTGCGTTTTGCTTTTGGTGGTGTCCGACAAGGTGGTTCTTCCGGCGGTAGGTTGTGGGTAGGTCACCGGAAAATGGAGAGATTAACCGGAGCTGCATAAGAAAACGAACAGAAAGATCCGTTAAAGCAGGTTGCTTTGGGTTTGTTTCGTTTTGCATGTGCGCTAATCAATTGAAATTGTTTTTGATTGTTTTTTCCGCTTAGATCAATGTAGTTGTAACCCCCAAAACCCATCAATTATAGCATCTTACCTTCAGTTTTACAACATTGTAATAGAAAATAATGAAAGTGGGATGCTAATATAAGACACTGTTGACAGTTTTTTTTGCTATTTTGACCATTTTAAGGACTTTGTTATTTTAACCGAAAAAATAGCAATTTACATTCATTGTTTGTTTATCATAGCATCTTACATATTATTTTAAAAATTGTAATAGAAAATAAATGAAGGTGCGATGCTACTTTAAACACATAATTGAAAGTAGGTTGCTACTTAAATCAATGAATGAATAAGTCTTCATATTAGAGTGAGCAACATTAAGACCATTGGTCTACCTCTTGAGAGTAGGCGATTATCTTGGAGAACTAGCCATCCCTCAAACATAGGTCATTTACATGCTCTTTAACTTTTTTTATTATTATTTTGTTCAAGTTACTATTTAATGTAAATATATTTATGTTTGGTTCCTATCAAATGTTCTTTGGAATGAGTGTTTAACACTAGAAACCATTTTATGCAACTTTAGCTTTAAAATTGAACCATTGTAATTGTAGAATTCCCCCAAAAAACACTAGATTTTGCAAACTTGAATGTTTTTTCCATACTTTTCCAACCTAAATGCTTTCTTTGTTGCGGTTGTACGACACGAAAAATAGTCTAAATAGTACATGGATTAGTCTTAAAGAATACGTAGGGTTGAAAGGTTAACAAGTATATTTGTTCTACCGCATATTGTATATTATTGATATAAACAAGTCCACCTTTTAATTTAAAACATAATTACATGGTATTATGCTTTCTAAATTCTGGTTTAACATAATTATAATTCCAAACTTAAACTTAGACATTTATAAATGATTATTGCAAATCAGAATAATGAAAGAATATGAAAAATATGCACTAAAGAATTAGACTGATAGCAAAAGGGTAAATTTATCTTAAATTAATTTTATTTCTAAATATATTTCGTGAATAAATTGGTAATTTGGTTGTTGACACGTGACAGACTAAATTGTCCGTGTTTTTCCGAGCACATCAAAGTTGGTCCAAGCATTTTCTTGGTGTTGTACTCACCATATATCATACTGTAAATTTCCATTGGTACCCCTAATTTTATTAGATTTACATAATTAACACCTGTAGATCGAGATTAATGCATCAATTAACAATTTATTATTATTATTAATATTATTATTATTATTATTATTATTTTCTAGGGAAAATTAGGTTTTGCTAATTTATATGTATCATTCATCTTTATGCACTCAAATATTAGTTCTCATATATGTGTAACCTTTTTAATAATTCTCATAAATTTTTGATAATAATAAAGCCATTATTCCTCTCTTTCTAAGTACGGCTAATTTTATTTCTATGATTTTTTTTTTGCATACAGATAAAAGCAGAAATAAATTGAAAATATTAATTTTAGACAATGACGTAACATTACCAATAAGACATCTAATGTTGTATTAAAATAAATATTTGGAAATTTGTGATTCATTACAATTATATACAATATCTCTGTAATGTCCCAAAAATAAGACCCAAAATTTTCATTTTAAAATTTATAAAATAGTAACTCAAAACATATCCATACAACCAAGATAGATCAAAGTGTATCACTACATCATAAAATATCAGAGTAATCATATGAACGCGGAACAAAATAGTGTGTGCACAACAATCACCCCGAGTTCTTCCCCTTTATACTAGAAGTACCTGAAACATAAACTAAAAATCATATGCACGAAGCTTAATGAGTTTCCCCCAGATACCACATACCACACATATCAAACATATAATGGGCCCCGCCGATGAGTGTAACGGGCCCCGCCCTAACTCGCATAACGGGCCCCGCCCACTAAGTATAACGGCATCGCACTAACTCGCATAATGGGCCCCACCCACTGAGTATAACGGGCCCCGCCCAACATATAAACATACAAGTATAGCAAGTGATAGCATACATAATAACCATTGTGCCCCACCCGCTAAGCATACAAATACATGCACATGCAAGAGTCATGCAGACATCTATCACTCTAACATAGTAAGCCATGGGTCGGCATTGGTGTCTTCAACCTACCCGCTAAAAATGGTGATGAAGACTCACCTCAAACTGCAGAATCACACAGATAAATCTCTGGCTGCTCGTCCGAAGATCCCAGTGTTATCAATATTAACAATATCCATTTTATTAATTAGGACTTAACCCAAAATCATAGGTCTAATCTATTGGCCCAAAGCAAGGCCCAATCCATTTACTAAAAATCCCAAACTCTAATTGACAATCCAAGGCCCAATTATGGCCCAATCTTCGAAATTGGGCCCAAGACCCATCATGGGCCTAAAATCCATTGAAGCCTAACAAGCTAGTCCAAGTCCAACACAGAAGTCTGGTGGCCAACGGCCCAAGCAATGGAAGCCCAAACAATGGCCCAACACCGTGAACGTCTAACCCAATCCCATATGCTGAGTACGCGGGGGGTACTTAGCTCGTACGCTAGGCATACTCCTTCTGGGGCTAGTACGTGCAGCGTACCAGTTTGGTACACCCGACGTACTTCCCAGTGTGCCATTACCACTTCATTAAGAACTTAAAGGTTCAGCCTCTACTCCATACTCTCAGACCTTGTCTCAAAAGATGACTTATCACGTAAAGTTGGCAACTTTACATGCAGGCATGACTTAATGGGGCTCTAGAGCTCAAAAGAGCTTAACAAAGGTCTTAACTCATGCATGAATCCATAAACACCATAAAGTTTGCATTTTTATGCATAAGGGACTCCTAAAATGTCCAGATCTAAAGGGTTAAGCTTCTGAAACGACCTTTTCTCACAAGGACCAACCAAAAGGGACCAAAGTAGTCATAAACAAACCCAAGAGTAGATCTATACAAGAAGTTGACAAGTACAAACTTTATACCTCAAAGATCTCGAAATGATGATGCCAAATCCGGATCTCTAAGCTCCACTCCAAAGAATAAGCCTTCAATCTCCTTCTACCACTTCAAAATATACAAGAACACATCAAAATGCTTCACAAGAGCTCAAAAGTACCAAAACAAAGGCTAGGGCGATATTAGGGTTTAGAGGATAGGGAGGTTGGTCTAAAATGTCCTGGAGGTGAGTTTATGATGCTTGAATAGGGCACAAACCCTAAAAATAGGGTTTGTCCCAAGCCTGCATATGCCATGCGTACCCCACGTACGCCCCGCGTACGTAGATGGAACCCGTGATCAATATCAGGCTAGTACGCCAAGCGTACCACCTAGTATGCCACGCGTACTAGCTAAAGGACCAAAGTGCAAAGTTTTTGATAAAGAGGGTTAAATGCGAAACTTACCAAATTTGAGTGTTACAATCTCAATACTAATTCTTAGTACATTGGATTCAACTACATACTTATTCATCAAAAACTTTGTATATAAGTAAAATTATCACTTTAATAATTTCGTTAGGTTTAGAAGTTTATATTAATTTTTTTAATAAACTATACGTAATACAAGAGTTTCACACCTACTATATATTAAATTTAATTAATATGTATGCGTTTAAACGCATAATCACCTCATAATTTCTGGTTTCATATGACTTTGGACTCAATTTTGATTTTGATGAATCATTTTTTTAAATAACATTTGAAGTGAATGATAAATTAATGAATTTTTAATGTATATTTGTGTCGTCAATTTCTGATTGAGAGTTGATTATGTGTGTAGTATACGATAAATTGAAAAGCTTATTACTGCAATTGGAAGTTTTGTTTCATTAATTACCTTCATTTAACAGGTTGCTGTTTTGTAGCGGTAACATTAGAAAAAAATGAGAGAGAATAATGGTCACTAGGTCTATTTAAATGAAGATTATCAATCCCTAAACCAAAACATATCGAAATCCCACGCTGAATTGAGTCTCTGTGATTGCACATTAACATGGCCAAGCTTGCATCTTTCTTCTTAGTATTCATTGTTGTAATCTCAGGTTTGTGTACTCGATCTGTATATGTTTAGCTTCCAAAATTTTATTTTAAAATTAAAATATATTTTTTTGGAACGGTATTATTTTAATTTTAATATACATGAAGTTTCTTTGTAACTGGGAACATGCATTAGATAATATTTTGTTAATTGATTGCAAACATGTCCAATCTCTTGCTGGAGAATTTTTCATACAAGGACTTCTATTTTTATTTATTAAGATAGCCATATATGTAATATCTATTACTTTATGGTTCGTATTAAAATTTAACGTGTTTATTTTATTTTATTTTTCATTTTTGGAGCTTCCACTGTGAATGGACAGCATAGATGTACAGAGGTGTTGGATCCAAATGCTTGTACTCTTGGTGATTGTCGTGAGCAATGTTATCAAAAACACAAGGGCAATGGAATTTGCGAGCTGTCAAGTGATATGAGCCATTACGGTTGTATTTGTATTTTCGACTGCTGATGAAATCTTAAGACAATGATATTACTTTTGGGTCGGAAAGTAGTAACCCAAAGGATCATTAGTGCTCTAGAACAGAAAAATTACAATTCCATTA